GCAGGAAGCAGCTGGTGCCGGGAGCAGCAGAACTGAGCAGAGCAGGGGGGTTTGTACTGGGCTGTAGCACTGCCAGAGGGGTATCATAATACTGCTGACAGCAACAATCTCCAGCATCACCAGCTTCCACCCGGCTGATGGTAAAAGTGTAATCAGTGCCAGACCCACTGCCACTGAAGCGGTCTGAGACCCCGGATGGCCGTGATGTAATGCCCGAGATAAGGAGCTTGGGTGCTTGTCCTGGTTGGAGGATGCGGTACCACTGTGAACCCCACATTCCCAGCTAGGTCAGTGGGGCACAGTGTGTCCCTCCCCAGTCCTGAGCCCTGAGACTATGCGCTGGACCGGGACGGGCTCAGGGAATTCGCCCCCATTCCCTACCCCTGAGCCAGCGCTGAGTTCCTGCTTGAAGCTGCTACTTCCCATGCAGCTGCAGGGCTCTGGCCCCTGGGGAGGGGTGCAGCCATGTCCTTGTGGGAACAGGAGCTGCAGCCCAGGGCACCAGGCAAGCCCATCCCCAGCCGTGCCTGCTACTAGTGCCAACTGCTGCCAGCTGGGCTGGCTCAGCTTCGGTGGGTCTGCTTTCCCCTGGCAAGGGAGCGGTGGCTGCCAGCTCTGCCTGGCACAGGGGCCTGCTGCCCCCACCTCAACCTCAGGGCTAAAATTACTCATGCTTGTTCCGAGGAAATGAGCTGAAACCATCCAAATGAAACAGCTGAGTTTCATACAAATGAAACAGCAGAGGACACCTGTGAGATCCTAACTGAGGTAGTCACTGATGGGCAGCAGTGGTGGGTGAAGTGCATGCACAGGAGCAGCCCCAGGCCCTGCTGGGATGGGGCAGGAGAGTCCCTGGCCTGTGACTGCAGGAAGCAGCTGGTGCCGGGAGCAGCAGGACTGAGCAGAGCAGAGAGGTTTTTGTACGGGGCTGTAGCACTGTGAGAGGGGTATAGTTGCTCTGCCCACAGTAATAATTTCCAGCATCACCAGCTTCCACATGGCTGATGGTGAAAGTGAAGTCGGTGCCAGACCCACTGCCACTGAACCGGTTGGGGATCCCAGAGGGGCGGGTGCTTGAGAAGGAGCTTAGGAGCCTGCCCTGGTTTCTGCTGGTAAAAGTTAATGTAGCTGCTAACACTGGAGCTGGTTTTGCACTTGATGGTGACTGTGTCCCCTGGAGACACTGCCAGGGACTCTGGAGTCTGAGTGATGACGATGTCCCCGCTGGAGCCTGCAATGAGGGAACATGATAATATGAAAAAATACATGAGACAATTTAAGTGTGACGCTGTTTATGGGAATAAATATAATATCTTTTAAATTGATGATGATCTTTTAGAAAACACAGATATATTTATGCCCTTCAAGGCAGCCAGTGGACTGAAGAGCTATTCTACAATCGTTAAAACAATTCAGTCATTTGTAAAATATTATAATCATAATCAACATCTTGGCTGCATATTTTCCACTAATTTCTCTGCTCTTCCTGTTCTTACCCTTTGCCCAGAGCATGAGGAGCCAGACGAGCTGAGTCTGCCACAGCATCTTGCTGCTTCTGCACTGACTGACACGGAGCTGAGAGACACCAAGCGTTAAACCGGCCCCTTTATAGCTGTCCGGATGCAAAGCAGCAGCTCTACAGGTGCCTCCCTGGGCCCCAGGGCAGAGCCTGCAGGGCAGGGGCTAGAGACAGCCCTGATTCCTGGGTGCAGATGCCATTTCCCAGCAGGGAAAGCTTCACTCACCGAAATGAGAAGTCACGACTTTTTCATTCCAGGAGCCTACAGTCTTGGCACAGCTCTGCAACGGTGTAACCCCGTGGCCTCCAGTGGCTCCACTGCTGATCCACACTTCAGTCTGTCCAAGTCTCTCCTCCCTGCTGCCTGTCCCGTTTTCCCTCTCACTCGGGCTGAGGTTTCTCTTCTCTCCTCAGTCTCTGTTTCTGCCAAAGCACCTCCATCCCACCCTTCCCCGACTATTCCTCTGGCTCCCTCCTTCCTCTCAGCCTCTCCCTTTCCTCCACTTTATTCCCTCCCTGGTATAGGTACACTATCTGCTCTTCTGTTACAAATCTCCTCCCTGCTACTCCCAGTGTGACCCTGTCTCCTTTTCCACACTACCACAGGACATTGCACACGTTCTGGGTACCGTCTTTGCTGTGATTTCTTCTCTTCCAACCCATCCTTGCTCCTCCAGACAGGGTTCAGCTGTTTAACTAAATGGATACTGCTTCTCCCATAGTGTGAAATCTCTGCCCATTCCTCAATCCTCACGTTGTGCTAGATGTCTACACCATAAGGGTGTGAATGTAGAAAGACTTACTGTGTACTTGAAGGGAGCCCAGACTTTTCCACACCCTCTGCCCCGTGGTCATTCCTCTTGTCCCACAATAAGTGAATGCTAACCTGGGGCAGCTTAGCCATTACTGCAATAGGCCGGGTCACATACCACTCTTCAGCCTTCACTTACTGTGGGATAGGAGCTGGCACAGCGCAGGAGTGGTTATCGCAGAGCACTGGATATGCAATACTTCTCCCTCACCTTTTAACCTGCTGCAATGTGCTTGTCTGCTTGTCCTTTCTGTCTTGGGACCAGGTCTGCAGCTCTTGCAGCACTTCTGCAAGCACATTACCAGAAACACAACTCAAAATAAGTCCTAAGCAGTCTGAAGGCATGGGGATTTGCTGGATCTCACAGTGGTGGGGAGACTGTGCCATGTCTTTCTCTGGCAGGGACATTGCAACTAGGAGCCGGCATCAGGCACAGATTGAATGTGCTCTCCCTGCTGCTCCGCTCCAGCTCTTTTGTGTACACTTGTCTGAAAGGAAACAGGAGCAGACTGTGCCAATAGTGACACCAATGGCAACAGTTTTGAACCTTTTCACCCAAGTTCTGCCCATCTTGCCCCAAAGGGGCCATTGTCACCATTGTAAATGCCACCTGAAAGACCATCAGGCAGGGTGTTTTGATCGTGACAATTCTTTGGCAGTAAAGATAAAATGGATAAAGGGTATCATCAAAGTGAAAGTCCAAGTCACGCTTTAAAATGTTAGTGATCTCATTCTTTCCCCTCCTTTCCCCTCCTGTATCTATAAAAGATGAGTAGATGTTTATTGGTGATGTTTGCCAAGGGAATAGGCTGGCTGGCTACTCAAAGCTCCTGTTTGAGTGTTTGGTTTTGTACAGTGCCAGGTCGCGGTAAGACGTGTGACTTTCTGGGGCTGTTTATACCACTGGGATTCACACTCACAGCTCCTGGAGCTTGGAGCAGCTACTGCAAGTGTCAGCAGCCTCTTTTCTCTTGATCCCATCCTCTGCTGTCTCTCCTAAGTGCATCCTCCAATGCTTTTCCTCCTACTTCACTGTCTGCTCCCTCTTCTTCCTATTTGGTGGGTTCCTTCTCCACCAAGGTCTCTCTTCTTTCCATCCCCATGGGGTGCACCATAGACCTTCCTGTCACTCAGGTCAATAATGTGGGTGTCATTTCTCCCCATACATGGCCAAGATTTGTAACTCTAAAGAGGGGCAGTGTCTGAATGGGTGCACCTCTCAGACAGTGCTGAACAGAGTCTGCTGCTTTGAGTGTGCAGGTGGAAAGGAGGTGTGAGCTGAGTGACAGCAGCCACCTGTGTGCATCTGGACCCCCAAGGTGGGGCTTATTGCTTCGGTGGCATGCCGGATTCCCTCCCCGTGCAGTGGAGATGATCTCTGGTTGGATCACACATGCTGCACTGTTACTTAGCGCTGAAAAGAAACCCAGGGTGTGTTATGGTCTTTGACTTGTGATGGGGTTTCACTAGCTCCACCCTCGCACAATAATACGAGGATGTTGGCTTTGTCATTGCTTCATCACTGAAGGAGGGATTGTCTAAACCTGATTCAAAAGTCCTGAAGTTAGCAGACAGATTTCCTGGGACCCCCATGGGCTTTGGGGCCTTCAAGGCTTTTGGACTCCTTCCTAGCACTGAATCCAATTTAGAGCAGCCTAGTCGTGTTTCCTTTCCAGAGCTCCTCTCAAGTACCAAACGTCTGGGTCTGGGTCAGGCACAGCTGCTGTGTCCTGCTGTCTGTGCCAGCGCGGCGGGAAGGAAGAGGTTTTTGTGCTGAAGTGCAACACAGTGAGAGGGAAGCTGTAGTCCTGCCTGCAGTAGTAGTGCCTGCATCTTCCACCTGCACCCCGCGAATGGTGAAGGTGATATCAGTGCTGCTGTGTGTGCCGTTGAACTGACTGGGGACTCCGGGGACATGGCTGGTTGCATGGTGGAGAGTGCTGCTGTGTGTGCCATTGAACCAATCCGAGACTCCGGGGACATGGCTGGTTGCATGGTGGATCATGAGCCAGGGACTTGCTCCTCATCTGAACAGGTACAAGTTCATTTAATTGCTGACGGGGCTGGAAGGTTTGCACCGAATGGTGACTGTCTCCCCTGGGGACACTGCCAGGGAAGCAGGGGTCTGAGTTACCACAATGTCTCCATTCAGCCCTGGAAAGGGGAGAAACAAGACGGCTGTTAGTGAAGAGCTGCTTCCAGCCCCTGCAGGTGCCAGCCCTTGGGGGTCATCACAAGGCAGTTTGAACAGATTTGCTTTTAATTGTTTTAAGCCCTAGCCTTTCAGATACCCAGAGCACCTGAAAACCTGAGCATCTGAGTTTAAATTTACAGTGAAACTGTTTCCAGCTCCTCTGCTTGTGGTGAAAACTTGCAGACATGCCTGAGTGCATCCTAACGGCTCAGAAATGAGGATGCAAAGAAAAATAAGTCGAGTGAAAAACAGCCTCATGGTCAAGCCAGTCTCAACATCTTTTTTCTTTTTCATTGTTTTTGTTTTGTTTTGAAGCCTGCCCCATAAATGCTGCTCTGTTGATGATGACACTAAAGACCTGCCGGAGCCATGAAAGCTGCAGAAGAGCACCGACCTACCTTCAAACACAGAGAAAAGGAGCCACAATACATGCGTTTGCAAAGTCATCCTGCTTCAAGATTTCCCCACTACCAAGTGTTAAACTTCACTCAGGGTTGTGAGAAGTGTGGCAGAAATGCCCCGTCGGTGCCCCTCTCCAGAGATCTGTCTCAGCCAGCCTGAGAGGCTGCTGTTGAATCCCTCACAGCGGGGATCTCGCTCCTTGTCTGCAGACAAAAGCCTGGTGCCTGGGAGGCGATGCTCTGGTCACCTGGGCA